CATGAGTTGAGATCACTTTCTGGTGGTTGAGGATGGGCTTTAGGGTGACGGGGGCACAGGAATATTTATAACCCTTCCTGGATCGCAGGACCCGTTGGTCAGTGTGAAAGTGTCCTCTGGTGACAGCAGCGCGGTCGAGCGGTGCCAGGACTGCAGAGCCCAGCATGTGACCGATGGTGGGATCTGCACTGGAATGCTCGCGAAAGGCAGCTATGAAGCCCTGATCCCACAGGCAAATCCCTGCGCTGCCCAGAAGCAGATGCAGACCTGCCATCCAAAACCCAAACATTTCAGCATCCTGGCTCACGTTTCTGCCGTTTCAAACTCGTGATTCACAGCAGCCAAGCCGTGGCACAGCCCATCTCTTCAAGGTCCTTTCCTCCCCAAACTAATTTCATCTGTAAGGCACTTGGAGAAGAAAAATGGGAAAGCACATAGTTTATCACACACATTCTTACAGGACTGTTAGTCTAGGACATACCTATATAAAGCCTAAAGAAACTGGTAAGCTAAGAGAACAGCAAACTGACAAAACTCGAGTTGGACTGTGTGTCACCCCAGCAGGGCAGGAACATCCTCTATGAGGCAGCTGTTGTTACAAGGGAAACGATGGCACAACCGTGCCATTTTCTGCTCCTGCACGGGGCACTGTTAATCCCGGCTGCACACAGTGCCCGGGTAACTCTGTGCCCCAACACGGTGCTAGCGCAGCGGCACTCCGCTGCCCGGACAGACCATCTTGATTTTTCCTTTGTGGTTCTTTGAAACAAGGCTGAGAAAGGAGAGTTGAGCAGCTGCGGAGGACAGTGAGTGAGAGCTGATCTTCGGTGGGCAGCGGCTGTGGAGAGTATGCCGTCACCCAACATCCCTCTAGGAAACTTGGCCCAATCGAACATTTCTACCATCAAAAGCGAGTGGCCTGAACAGCTGGATGCACCCAGAGAACAGCGGGGAGCGTGCAGGCTCGGCCCCGTCTGGCAAAGGCTGGGGGTACCTCACGTGGGGCCAGCCAGCCCCATGCCCAGAGCCTCTCCCCAGGTACGCTCCTCTCTGTGCCCAGAAAACATGGTTTTTTTTCCTTTCTTCTTTCATACCTAAAAACTTTCAAAGGTGGAGTCACCCCTAAAAGAAGTCATCTAAAATCAGTTTCAGCAGTTTTTCAGAAAAGCAGCACCACAAACCCAGGAAACCAATATATTGTGGTAGAGAAACAAACCCAAAGTTGGCCTCAGTGTACTTTTTGGAAAACACATGCAGCCTGTGGCCTTCTGCCACTGTAAACATTTCAGGTGTAGTTTGTACTGATGCTGAACATTTTAATGCGCTCCAACTATTAACAAGCATTGGAAAAGTCTCAGTTTGCCAGAATGCAGCTGCAGATGATGGAGTGTTTCACCAACAGCAGGTCAGATTTGTTTGATTACTTAGAAAAAATAAGCCCAAGTTTAAGCGCAGCCCCAGCCACACATTGCCACTGAGGCTCGGGGATGCTGCTGGGAGCAGGGAGGCAGGAGGACACTGGGCTTTGCTCCCAGCGCCACTCATGGTCTGAGTAAATCACAGTTCCAGTGTCACTTTCCCAGGTACTGGAGATAAGCCTTTAATGAAGTACAGCATTAATGATAACCATTGTTTAATAGACAGGGGCTTACAGCAGCTAAACATAAAAAACTGCACAAACATACACACATAAACCCACAAACGCATCTTAGAGATGTTGCTACTTCAGCATCGCTCTTAGGAAACAGATGGGAAACAAGGTGATGGCTTTACATACCTGTCTTTATAATTCTTTTGATTTACAGCACAAGTCATTTCACCTTTTGGATTGGACTTAATCCAAACATCTTCAAACCCGAGTGCCCCAAACCAGGAAACTTTCTTAGTGGTGGTAACTGGAGATTCTCCAAGAGGGGTTGTCACACTGATAGTGGACATACACACAATCGAGCACTTAAAGGCAAAGTTTCACTAGGGTGCTGTTTAAGGAGGCACTGAATTAACGGAAGAACATTGCTTGTTGAAAGGCAGGTGGGAGGAAGAAGACATCACTTGGTCCTGATAGCAGCAGGCTGAGAAATCTCAGAACATCCCCTTCGAGCAGGCTGGGTAAAGCACAAGGAGCACCTCTGCAGAGCCGTCACTGCTGCGACGCTCAAGGCAGCAGTTCAGCAGCGCAGGGGAGAGCTCGACTGGAGTTAGAGCAGGCAGGCCAAATACTGTGTGGAAAACTGCCTGCAGTCATCTGGACGCTGTCAGTTTCTTCGGAGTGAGAAGGCTCTTGCAGGGTAGAAACAGTTCTGGGCAGCCTCAGGAAATGTTAGCTGGAATTGGTGCAGTTACAACAGAAATCCACACGAGGCAACGTGATCAGTGCTTGGTATTATTCATCGAATATGCCCAGATAAAACGAGATTACCAGTCCAGCAGCAGCATGGCCTGGGCAGGACTCTGGCGTGGTCTGGTGTCCACAGAGATCTGCTCCTTGCATGTGTCCCTAGCACAATCTCCACTTCTGGACTGCGCTAGTTCCAGGGATGGACGGCTGTGGGGCAGCTGGTGACTGTTGGGCTGTGCAGGGTCTGGCAACCTCTTCCTCCTTGTTGTAAATTCATGCTGGTTTTCAGCTGCTTCTTGCTGGTTTCCAATGCCCCTATTTGCTACGATTATACTAAGAACGTCTTCTTTTATTGTTAATACCAACATTTACATGCTCTCTCCTATGACAGTTAAAACTTCACGTTCCACACAAGAGCCATCCAGCACTTGGGTGCCAGGATGGTGGCCACAGCCCAAACCCCTTCTCCTCCTGACCTCACCCTGGCTTGGGCAGGAAGGGCAGCTTCCCGGAACAGCAGCCACTGCAGGGATTTGTCTTCTGCATCACTGGCAGAAGGTGGTGGCAAGGAGGTGAGCAAGTTGTATTTGAGGAAACACTGAGATCTCCTGGAAGAGAGAGTCCTTTGGGTTGGGGCTCAGTTTCTCCAGAGGACCTGGCCCCATGGTTATGAGAGAATTATGTACAAAAACCATCAGAAGAAATGGGCCAGGGTGGATACCCAGTAATTCCTAGCCTTGACATATATAAAAGGGGCTGAGTTTGCACAGCAGGAAACCAGCAGGTAGAGCAGCCTCTGGGTACCTGCCAGGTCTAAGGTATATTGTAGCTGCCAAGAAAGGAAAGACTTTCACTATTGGATCTTGTCAAAATGCTGCTTGGAGGACAGGCACTGACTTGGAGCCTGTTTCCTGCAGTGTCTGGTACAGCCTGATAAGTCACGGCTCTGAATCCGAGATGAAGCCGTTGACCCCTATCCATTTCTGCACCTTTGTGAGACACTGGCTTGGAGCCCTCTGCAGATACTGCACAGCGCTTCGCCCAGTGGTAACAGCACATGGCGTGGCTGGTCATGGTATGACACAAGTCTGTTTCAGGAGAAAGGTGGACAAGGAGCACAACTATGCCATGATTATGACCAGGAGGGAGATCTTAAGCAATACCCCTTTTTCCAAAGGGATATGCCTAGGGGAAATAAACAGCCACAGAAAGACATCTTGACATAACCCAGAGAAAACATAGCTGAAGTTTGAAAATGCTGCACTGAAAGTAGTGACTCGGGCCGTCTACTACCAGGAACCAAAGGCTCTGTGAGCACCAGTAAAGCCAAGGGCATCTCTGTTGCACATGCAGTATGTATTTAAACACAGCTGCTCAAAGGAGAAGTGGCCACTTCCCGATTTCACCTCCAGCATGTTTAAACAAGGCCTTAGGCTTGCAAACTTAACGACAATTACTAATTTAGCTGGTGGCACAAGCATACAAACACCACTGTCACAAGCAGGGAGCTGGGTTAAGCTGTTCCCACCAGCTCTACCTAAACTCAGACTTACTATGGTGTTGCTGAGGGGAAGCTATCGAGGGAAATAACCTTGGTGAAAGAGCGATAGGAAGGAACAGCTGGGAGGATGGGGATAGTAATCATTTAAATCGCATCTGCCACAGATGGACTTGCTCAGCTCGTGTTGCTCCCCCCACCCAAAGCGTTCACATTTAAGTCAGTGGGAACCATTCATGTGAACAAGAACTCGCACCACTGTTTGCACAACCTGCTAGTCAGGATGTTCACATCCTCTTGGGACTAGACAGATGCAGGGATATCAAGTACCACCTACACCCTGCAAAGAAGTCTTCTGCTGCCCACATTCCTTGCCGAATTTGGCATTCTTTGTGGTGGGAACAAGAAATGTGTCTTTGATCTGGACAGGAAAGATGTCAGCTCTGAACAAGGGAAAGGTGACACAGAAACTCTGAAGTATCAACAGATATTCCTAAACAATATCCCCACTGTTCTCATTCTTTGATTATTAAGAAAAACCCTGCCCAAATCCAACACTTCAACCTGATCAGTCTCCTGCAGGAAGGAGATGCCCTAGGCTCAAGGCAATGCCAATTCTAGCCACCTCATGCTACCCCCAAACTTCTGCTCCATGCTGTTTTCTCAGAATGTGGCATACCTCCAGGTAGGCAAAACTGGTTTTAAAAGGGTCTTTAAAGGTAGTGACTCAAACCAAGTTTAATAAATTTAAATTAATAAATATTGAAAGTAAAACTGCCAAGGAAACCAAGTAGTTTAAAGAAGCTGCTGGTCAGCTAAACAAAGCTATGAGGTGGTGTCCCTGCTCATGGCAGGGGGGTTGGAACTAGATGATCTTAAGGTCCTTTCCAACCCAAACCATTCTATGATTCTATGATAAAGATCCAAATTAAATAACTATACAACTTATGCACATACTTCTTACATTACTCCTTACATGATGGTGAACATTTGCATCACTCAGAGACCAGGTACCAGACTGGCTGCAGCTGCTGAAAATGCTGGCTGGGGTACTCACATGGAAGCCAAGTTCTGCCGTGTTCTCTCCAGCAGCTTGTCCTGGTAAGTTAGTGGGAAAGATGGTGTAGCAGTGTAACACAAAATGAAATGCCAGTAAGCTCAAAATACTTTGAAAAATGTGTCATTTTATTTGTGCACTTCCAAAGTTGTACGTAGAAACTTATAGTACAGTCCCGTAAATTTACTCATTGCTAGAAGAACTGCCAGGGACACAGGAAGGTGTTTATTGATTGATCATCAAGTTAGAGGGGAATAAACAAACAAAAAAAAACCCCAGAAAAAAAAAATAAAAAAGTTATGGAACTCCTCTTTTTTTTTTTTTTTTGTTTTTTTTTGTTTTTAATCCCCAAGTACAAATTTTATAAATACAAAACAAATTCACAAATTACTTTGAATGCTAAATAAATATCTACTTAATAAACTCAGACTGAATACCTCCAGCCAGCACTGGTACAGTACTTAAAAAGATATGCAGTTGTTCTCATTCATGTGTAGTGTTGAGAAGATATGCTCAAAGAAGTTTCAAAACACACACACAGTTTCTTCAACTGTGCTACAGCAGAAGATTTTATCTGAGTTGATAAAGCCCTCCATACCACAGCTCCTACAAAATCTAGAGCATGAAACAAGGTCATTTTGTGCAGGAAAAAACAATGTTCTTCTGGAAGATACTTGGACACATGAATGTATTAAAAATGTACAAAACCTCTGTAAACCAGTACTGTATCCAGTACATCTATCAAAATTATTAGACACTGAATAAAACTGTAGCAAAGGTAATCTTTCCTACGTTCTCCTGAGTGCTTAATATTACATTGAGAATATAGTGCAGGCCACACTTCAAGGTGGTTAAACAGTTGTTATTGCTTTATACAGGTATGACGACTGCGTGATTTAAGATTTAACATTTCATTTTAATGAACACAGATTCCTCAAAAAAAATCCTTTGGAAGGTAGAGGTTAGATTCGTGACTTCTTCACCGCGGGAGCGGCGTGGTCCACATTACCTGATGTGATTGGAAGTCCAAGCTTTTGAGCCTGAATGTGGAAGAAAGCTTGAAGTCTAGTTCCAGCTTTTGCTTCACTTGTGTTACGAGGGTTGTATTCAAAGCAGTTCGAAAACATCAGCTCAATGTCTTCAATGAATTCCGCTAGGAAATAAAAAGTAAATTAATTGAGCGTGTCTCAGAGCAGTACGATAAAGCAGTACGACCCCACCGAGTCACTACAGTGATCCTACAGTCACAACACAAAAATGTCTTTGCATGTGTCAAGTGTCCATCATTATATTAGTGCCATGTAAACATTCTTGAAATTTCTCGTATTACCAAAAGAACTACAAATCCAGCAGTAACAACAGTACCTTTACTAAATATTTCAGTGCCACTCGCTGACACCAAAGGCTTGAGAAATTACCAGCAGTTTCTCAGCTGCTCATTTCTTACCTATCTGTACATCATGCATCTTGTAGTAAAAGAACTGTTCAACAAATCTTGATTTAAAATATTAGTAAATGCTCTTTAAAAAAAAAAAAACAACAAACCAAAACACACCACCAAGCCCCAAACTAAACTCACTTCCAGCTTCCTGATCCTCTGACACAGCTCTGTTTTATGACAAGAATTTATTTTAAAGTGAGAGAAGAGGGTTCATTACCTCTATCAATAAATAATACTTACATGCTAACTTATATTCACATTTATTCACTTTTTCACGGATAATATTTAAGGCAATAGGTTTTTTGATGATATCATAGTAGTCTGGTACCTAAAAATAAAATAAAAATAAAAAAATAAAAAAAAAATTCCATAGACAAACAAACGGAAGCTGAAAATTCTACCTATAAACAAAGTTAAGCAAATGATGTATTAGCAGAAACCATTTTGGTTTTGTTTCTAAGCAGAGGAGTCACAAACAACGACCTCCATCTCCTGAACTCAATGTTAGTTTTCAGGTATTGCTTTTTCATTTCTGTATCATTAAAGTAGCAGACCACAGCAAATATTAGCCACTGAATACATCTAATCCTAAATACCCTGTGAACAACTGTAAGGAAATTGCATGAACAGATAAGCATTACAGTGTTCCCATCTGTCAAGTGCAAAATGATTTCCAAGATTTAAGAACCTTTCATTTTCCTGCAACATATTACAATATTAAAAGCTCCTCAATAATGAGTAATGACCATTTTTACTCCACTGCTATTCACTGTCTTGCAGGAGAAGTGAAATCCTGATACTCCATTTAGTTGTACTGAAGAGAAAGTAGCGAACCTTTCTGTAGCAAGGAGAACACAGTATTCAAGTACGAGAGAGAAACAGTCACTCGTAGGAGTGTTTATGTGATAAAAGTGAGGGAAGGAAAAGGATTGCCTAACTCTTAAGGACACTCATCATCTGGATCACAGATTCTGAATTTCGGGTAAGTACCAAGCTTAGGGTCTCATTCACAAAGTGGGGCAGGGGGGTAAAAGAAAAAGATATCTCATACAAATGCCACTGCCCCCCTCAAAAACAGAAAAAGATACCCACATGGACCATCATAAATGTTTTAAAACCAAGGTCTTGTCTATGGCCTGTAACTTTACTATGAAGTGCAACCTGCAAATGAACCTAAAGAAAGAATTAGTAGAGATACAGAATTAGATTGACACGTTTTACCTTGCTTTCCCTTTAGAAGTGCTGTTCTCATAAGGACTAAAAAGAGTTTTCCTTTTCTGGCTTGCTGTGCACTGATCATTCAGTGTATTCTTTACATTGTCTTAAAGGCAGCAGAAAATTTAAACCAGAATTTCTGTCATGATGAAGAAAATTTGACCTACTCAGGTATGGATTTTTCTTTCCAAACTATATAGAGACTGTTCCTTAGTGACTGATTCAGGCAAACCATAACACACTGAATTCTAGCAGTGTCTTTTTAGGATCAAGATTAAGTTGAATTCTCCATCCCTCCTTGCATTCAGTAGATCCTTGCACTATCCAGTGTAATTACTGTACTTGAGTAGGCAGACACTAGTCTATTTCATTCAGGATTCCTCTCCTCCTCTGCATTTACATCTTTCATTCACATTTGTACATCATTCTTTTTGTCCAGATACATTAATCTTTCCACCTCTCTGTGACTCTGAATTCAGTTTCAAGCCTTCATTTAACAGCTATCACTGTTAAAACTAACAGAGCACTTGAACACCAAGCTCTAGATACTGCACATATGTCTGTGCAGAGTTGCTCCAGAGGCCTTGGAGAGGACAGGCACTTGGTTAGAGTATGGCAGTTCCAGCAGTGCCTCACAACAGACAAACCTGTGCCGCCTGCAGAAAAGCTGACGTGCCTTGGGAACTTTTACTGTAATACAAACCTCTAAAGCGGCGCTTCCTTTGGGTACCTACTTGCCATCAAGTAGTTTAAAAGCTAAACAAGAAGAAAATAAGTAAGAACTAAGCTAAGAAATTCTCTTTTTTACTGCATTATAGTTAACATCAGAGCAAAGCTTTTCCTACCTTGTTATTTTACTGCAGGTCTGTTCTCAAAAATGCCTTTGCGTAAATTGAAGGTTAATCCAACTAATTAACTAATCAATGTAAGTGTACCTTTAGCAGTCCCATCCTCTACCTTTTTCCCCCAAATCAAGGCCTTTCATATTTTTAAAATTCCACACAAGCATACTTTAAAATTTCCCAAAACCATGTCAATTGTAGAAGTTACTTCTGGCACCAAATATTTGAGCTGAAATGCAAGAGTTCTCCTGAGTCACACTGCTTAGCTGTATCCCCCTGTTTGGGCAAGGCTATAAAATCCCAAATTTTTACTGTCAACAGACATGATTCTCGACCATTATCATTCCCCTCTACAGTTCTATCAGTTACCTGGATTTTGGAAACCAGTTTCATGAAAGGCCAGCTGTCATCATGTCGTACCAGTTCCACTACGAGTTGTTCGAAAGCTGAGAGTTCGTGGACTCCCCCTTGACGTCCTGAACTTCTCCTGTTCAATGAGGTTTGAGGAGATGATTCTGGAAAAAAAACAACACCCCACCAGGTAAAAATAAAAACCTGACAAGTAAGGAGAAAAAAATTTCAAGAAGTACTGAAAGACCATTATTCTCAGGTAGTAAAACTGCAGTTTCAGGACTCAGCCCATGTAGTTTGGCTTCAGGTATTAACTATACTTGTTATTAACCGCTAAATGTCTCTCTTGCAGTACAAAATGCAAAGTACCAGGACTTAGCTGGGTTCCTCCTCCATTCTCCTGCATCACATTAATTTTGGAAAGGATTTTTTTCCACTGATTTCAATTTTGAAACAATTTGTTAAACGCTGAAAGAAAAGCCCTATTAGAGAAAAACAGAATAAGCTGCCTGCTCATAACTTTTGCTTCCACAAAACCTCTATTCAGAGTGGTTTTATCTGCTTTCAAGAGTAGTCAGCAGGGTGGTTAGAGGATAAGCCCAGAAACTCCCAACGGTGAAGGGCAGAAATGGTGCAGAATACAAGGCTGCCACACTGGAGTGCAAGCTCTTTCACACTCTTCAGTCTCACACTGGGGCCTTTCTGTTTTTAAAAGGTTTTTGTAGCTTTCCAAGTATTCCCCTACCATCAAATACTTGTTATTAGCTTAACAAGCAAGGATGCTGTTAGTGCTATACCAGATAGGTGACATTTTTCTTCTGGTTTCTTGTGGTTTGTGTATATTCCAAATTTCACTACCTTGCCTACATCTGCGTTCTGCACTGTTTAATAAAACAAAACCATAAAAGCTGTAAGTAAACATTTGCGTTTTTAAGGGATTAAGGCATAAATCTCACTTTCATATTTTCTATGCATTGATTAGCAATTGTTCCATATTGTTAGCAAATATGAAACTTCAAATATGAGTATGATAAATCTCCTTGGCAATTTAAGTTATTTGCTCTTTAGATGACTGAATTTTTCTTTTTGAGTTTCACTTCTGTCACTGCAAAAGAAGGGATCTGCCTTATTGGAAGTGGTAAAAATGTCTTCAAGCACCATTTCTAGTCTCCTTGTCTACCACACAAATATTTTAGCAAGGAACAGAATGTGGTTTTCGTTCTGGACAAACACATTTCTCTAACCTGTGGATTGTCGTTTCCTGCCTCTTCGCTTGGGTTCAGTAACAGGAAGAGAAAGCTTTGAAGTAGAAACTGGACACTTTCGAAGCCGCTCAGTCGGGTCTGCAGTATCAACAATTCTAAACCCGAGAGAATTGGAAGGGCTGTTTTCCAGTGTGTTATCAGCATTCTTTCTTCCTCTTCGTCTTCTTCGAGGACTGAGTAATTCCACGAATACATCTGCTTGTAATGAACTTTGGCTCTGACGAGTGGTCCGGCTATTAAGTCTTAAAGAAGGCTTTGTCACTGATGGAGGGGCTGATTTTACCTTTCTCAGCCCCCTCCTGGTAACCTTAGATGAAGATTCGGTTTGCTTAGGCGTGTTCTGCTGACTCCGAGAAGCGTATCTTGCCTGGCGCTGGCTGTTCTGACTTGAGAATGGATTGTTGAGTTTGGCTGCTCTCATTTTTAATGGAAACTTGACCTGAGGTCTTCCTGGCTTTGATGGGCTACAAAAAGTGAACAATTACATTTATTTATCCCCAAATTCCATGCCTTTCTCTTTCCTCAGTTTTCTAATTCAGCATTTAAAAACCCCAACCATTCTAGGTTGGACTTGGTAAGCAGCTGATACAGCCATCCAGTTACCATTATCTTAAATGCTAAAGTCTCTTAATTAGCTATTATGTGGAGCACCTACTCTACTTCATAGAAATGCTCGGAATTCCCATCACCCTTGCAGTTTGTGTAATATAAATGCATTAACTGGAGCACCAGCTATCAATTTCTTTAAATCACTTGCTTACTTCTTACAGCAACTGTAACTAACTAGGATTTTTAAACTGCATTACCAGCTACGTAAATAAACTGCAGTTGTAAAACACTCAATATAGAAGTTATGCTCTAGTCAGGGTTTATAACTAATACTCAAGACTCTCCTTCCATTACAGAAGAGAAGGAAGATGCCAGAGATAAATTTACTTCTCAAGGAGATGCAAATTCTCTCCAACCATTGCATCCCAACTCTCAGATCCACAGTCTTGCTTCAGTCAACAGGTCTTCTACTGTTTGCAACTCTCTCCACTTTACATTGAAACAGTAGCTGTAAAGAACTGCAACTCTAATGGCCATCTCTCACCTATACATCCTAGGCTGGGATTTTCATCCTGAAAAGTGAGTCCAGTGGACTTAAGTGTTGTTAATATTAAACCCATCAGTAAGAGCCAAATTCTTAAAAAGCTGACATTTTTTAAAATAAACATCTTTTTCAGACTGGATTTTCAAGATACGTGCTTACAAGAACAATTACTCCACCTAATAATAAAGGTATTTCAGTAAGACATCCCCTAAAGGGCTTTTCCATTTACCTCATTTCTTCTTCCTCTTGAGATTCATCCTCCTCATCTTGTTCTTCTTCATAATGCTCTTCCTCACTTTGCCCCATTTCATCATAATTTGCCTCTTCTTCCCCTTCTCCTAGTCGTTCAGCAGTCTCTTCATCGCTTTCCACAGAAGGTCTCTGTCTGGAGGAGAGGCGTCTAGAGCGCTGTTTTGGTCGGCACTCTGGGCAAAACCAGTCTCCTTCAGGAATGACCTAGAAGCAGGAGGAGGAAAAAAGAAAGGAAAAAAAAAAAAAAAAAAAAAAAAAAAAAAAAGAAGAAAGCATTAGTAATATGGAATTAAGTTGTAACAGCTACTCAAGTTTTGTGTGAAAAAGGAAGCACTTGTTTTCCTCAGATACCTTCAGCTTGGGCCTGATGCAGTAAGTATGATAGCCTCGATCGCAGCCATCACACAGCACCATGCTTTCTGCATCGCCTTTCTTCCGACACACTTTACAGCGAGCATTGAGGATGGACTTTGACCAGATGACACTTCGATCCAGAGTAGACAGATGAAGGAAGACTTGGGACAAGCTGGTAGAAGAAAGAAGTGACTCTCTCCAGCGATCCAAAACTGTTTTATAGGCCCGTCCACCATCACTGGCATCTTCCATTAAAGAAGGGGATGGAAAAAAACCAAAACGCCAGAATGATCAAACTTGTCAAACATCCAGGTTATTCTAGACTATGACTCTCATAAGGCTCAGATTCTCAAGACAGCAGTATTAAACTGGGATAATATTATAACCTTTGTCTTATCTCTTCAATACTTGAATATTTCCCCTTTAGTTTCCAAGCTGCTGATGCTGTAAGATTTTCCTCTTCAATACCAATTCAATTTGGAACTTGCACATACATGGGACATGAGTAAGACATAAAAGTATTACTCAGATAACAACATGGAAACCTAACAATTTGATTAAATTTATAAAAGAAGATTACTTAAGATTTAAAAAAAGACACTCCCAATTTACTTTCATTTGTATGTACATTCTGAAACCACAAAATATTTACATTTAAATATCATACCTAGTATTAAACAGAGCCTTTGCTGGCAAAAAAACAGCTTAAAGGGCTTTTCTCACCTGTACTTCCCCAGTATAATCTAGCAGACAATCTTTCAGCCCTCTCCCCATGCCTCAATGCCCTTATTCCTGTCCTGCACTTCCCAAGACCCTGCCTGTCTGTGCAGCTCACTGTACTGGGTGACTGCTCTAGTTGAAGTATTACCGTTTTCTTGGTATTTTATAAGCAACGTAGCACACGCGAATCTGTGGTGCACACCTAGTGGCAAACCAAGTGAGACCTGGGACCCTAATTAAGTTAGAAAGAAATGTGGGGGTTGGGGGGTGTGTGTGTGTATAGGGGGGAATGAGTCTGTGTGTGGGGAAGATATGGGAAATTATACTCTATTTTCAAACAGGTTTGGTTTGCAACCCAGACCACCAAAGCAGCCACACAAATACACATACAGGGTAGCAAGGGAGGAGGTACCGAATGGGAGTGAGCAGCTGGGAATTACAGAATCAAAGAGGCTGCTTGAGGGGCTAGAGAAAATGAGAAGATACAAATGACACCCTGCACTGCTGCTGCTGAGCAGAAAGGGAATTTCTGCATGAATGTTGAAAGCTGTTTCTTGCGTTTTAAAGCAAGAAGGTTTAAGGAGAGGAAGACACATTATAGTAGTACTTTTGATTATGGAAACGTTCACAGGTTTCCCTTCTAGACGGGATAGTCCAGTTATTACTGTGTGACCTTCAGCTGATTAATGCTGCACTCCAGTATAAAATGCCACCTTGCCTATCTTGCTATAGTCACAGTGAGCACAGGAATGGCATACAATCCACCTGCCAAATTATTTCTCCTCAGCAATAGGATGAGAAAACATCTAATAACAACCAAAATGAAAGAACAAAAATGAGACTAATTGCTCTTCTGACAAGGCCCTTCTGACTCTCATCAACTGGGTGCCAGGATTTGCCTAATCTTGCATACATCTGCATTAGCAGCAAGCAGCACAAGAGGAGTGATGGGAGAAGGCAGAGGATAAACAGGCAACACAGCTTCACTAATAAAACATAGCCACTCCTGAACTGCAAATTCAAACCTGGATTTCCTAAGATTTCCTACTACTTCATCTTTAGGTTTCCTGTCTGAAGTTCAGTCTTACTAAGGACAGTGGACAAGTGCAAAAGCAGCACCAGAGTATATCTTCCCAATGTGTTTTTAAAAATTAGCAAGAAGCAATTGAATCCACCTGTCAGGACACTAGACTGACACGAGATCCAGTTCAGTTCTGATGTAAATTTCTACTATAACTCTGGCAAAGACACTTTATCTTAAGCATATACATATATATATAAGATTGGCAAGCATTTCTTTTGCTGACAATGGCAGCTTGAGCATCATTTTTTTTTTTTTTGGTGGTTATTTTTAGCCTACATTGGTTCACCAACATAGTGCATGACACAACACAACAAATATTTGCACTTAAAAACTGCAAATGCAATAGAGATAGAAATTACTGACCACAACCTGTGTCAGCACGTCCTGCTGCTGGAACATGCCAAACGACACCCGCTGCTTCAGATCCCAATTTGTAAAATAAGAATAACACTCTTCTCTTCCATCCATCATCTTTCTCATTTATATTGTTAACTTGGAGGGAGAAACGGCCTCTTCCTTTGTGTCTGAGCAGCTCTACACTGCGCAGTGGGATACCCCTCTGTCAGCTAAGCCCTCCAAGCCTTGCTACAATGCAAATGAAGTTGTTTGACAGATCTATGCACTCATCTATCAATAGCTATTGAGTTCAGGGAAGGGTTTCCATTTTAGTATTCCTAGAAAGGATATGCAGTTGCACAATGCTGCGAAGTTTCAAAAAACCCAAAAACACCCAGAGGCATTAAAGGTGGTGGTGGGGGAAGGATTATGTGAACATGAAGATTTCTGTTCCAAATTGATAAAAAGATAATACAGTTGGGGAAAAAAAAAATATAATAATCCTTCCCCCCACCTTTTTTTTCCTTTTTTTTTTAAATCTCTGAGTTGTATTTGTTTTATTACCTATGTTTAAATCTTTGGCTTCAATACAAAATTCCTTCAATTTAAGGAACTGGCTAAAAAATTATTAAATTAAAAAAAGAAAACCTGATAAATATTTAATAGTTTTTAATTCTTAGCAATATAAGTAACATTTAAAATTTACCATCTCTCTGACTGCTTGTCTTCCACTCTCCTCTTTTTATCCCCTCAGTGCTTCCTTTCATTATCTGCTGCATTACTCAACATTAAATGCATAGTTATTTCAAATACCTTTTTGAAGTGTAGTGAATTTTTAATTAATTTTTATAATCCATGCTTGTGTAGCCTAAAAATATAACTAGAACTGCGGTTCCCAACATGTGCATGTGGAAAAAGGCAGGCAGGGAAGGGTAAGAGAATAATGTGCACATCCCAGGATTTACTTTGACTCCCACTACAAACAGAAGGCTTAAACCTACCCTCCCTTATCTTTCTGTCCATCTCCAGTACAAATGGCTATAGGAGCAGCTTACTGACCACAGGTTTCTCTCTCAGCAAACACCTTGTCTAGTCTATGCTACCACAAAACTCCCAACATCTCAAAAATATAGCCAGTTTATGGGCATACTCCTCAAAGACCAAGAGAACTAGCTCACCCGCCACGTGAAACAACATTCTTAAGTCATTTTTGTGCAGGAGTGTTCTTGAGTATTAAAATTACGTGTAATGAAATGATTTCTAAAACACAATTCACAATTAGGAAATGCATACAATTCATGCTACATTTCATCACCAAACAGCAGATTAGGGGCCACCTAGCAGCTCTGCAAGGCAGAGGGTGCTGTTTCTGGGGTTTCTAGATCTCCTTTTGCATTGCTATCTTCTGTGCCAGTCTTTTCTTGCTCTTCCACTTGAATATTTGGTATGCACCTCAACTCTAAACTTATCAGAATCACCAGTGAGGCTCTTGGCAGCCTGATAGAGCCTCAGAACAAAAAAGGAGCAGAGAGGAGCAGCTGGTCCTTTTATTGCTGGTGCTGGGTCCCTTTGTCTGCTCTGCACCCTGGAGGCCACCGGGATAAACTTGCCAGTGACTGCAGTGAATTTCACTGTGCTGTCTTTAGCACTAGAAGCTGTAAATAGATTGAGAACTAAAAATTGTGAATTATGGCTCCATTCCCTAATAGGAACTGAGCACAGTGAAGGGAGGTGGGAGGAGAGAAGGGGGAGCAGAGAGGGAAAAGACACTCCACAGGGAAGGGAATGACTGAAATAATGACAAAGAGAAAGCACGTTCAGCTTGGCTTAAAGCAGAAATGCAGGGGTACTCTTTTTTCCTGAAGTGTTCCCCTGTACTGCTACCAAACAGAACTCCTAGCACTTGCTTGACTTCCAACGCTTTTATCTCAGTGATAACTGAATCAGCCTAAAAAGGTTGGGTTTGTCAGGTTTAACATTAGAAACAGATAGGCAGGCATTTGGTTTAGGGGTGGTTCCATTAAGCAGTTGGAACAACTATTAAAAAAGCCTCCTGTTAGAAAAGAAATGAGTGTATGAACACAACAGACTATGTAACATCAAGCATAACAAGACAGCAAACAAACCCAAAACCCCCACAAACCAAAACCCAGTGGTTACAAACTAAAAGTTAATTTGTATTGTCAAAGTACTGCTGGCCACTTTCTGGAGGGGCCAACAAAAGAGGGCATCACAGTTCTGAGCATAAGGCAGTCCCCCCAGCAAGCAGCAGCATCCACTTTGTATACAAAGGTTTAGTAACGCTACTAACACCTCCTTGTCAAGCTAAGTAGAAAACTTTTCTTTGCTTGTTATACATATGCAAGTTGCAATCGAAGAAACAGAACCCGCTGCAGTAGCATGCAAAGACATTGTTTCCAACTGGGGGGCTGAAGCTCAATAAAAGATGATGCAAATTTTACACTCAGTTTTTTAAATATGTCTCAAACACTGAAGAGTTACATCCAGAAAGGTGTGCATCCAGAACTGCTGCTTGAATGCTGAAGTGCCCAAGTTTGACAGATGCCTCTCAAACACACAGGTTTCCTTAACACTTTGCAGTTGCATGTTCTGGCCACATCCACAAGCTCTCAAGTCAGAGTACCTTTCATATAACTAACTGCCTAGTGGTGATAAAGTCAGAAGGTGTTTTAAGCTTTCTTTAGTACAGAGCCACACAAAGCCACTGCTCCTCCAAGAGCTCTCTAATGGCAAAACAAACCCTTGCCCTCATTCATTCTCATCTCCTGCTAAAAGCAGCCCATTACGCAAACAAAACCATGAGACATTTGGCACTGAAGGTAAAGCAAGGAAGAGGGAACATGACACTGTCCCTTAATATTTAGGACAGTAAGCCAAGAGCAGAGCACACCTGGGACCCTTGCTGCTCCCTCAGCTATGCATGTTATTCTATATACTACTGAAAGCTTAAAGCAGAACCATTCTTCACAGCAGAAGAGATGCACAGGCACAGTTCAGTATACAAATATATGAGATTTAAGACATGCAAATCATATAATATTGCTTTCCCTATATACTTTCTTTGCCACACAGTATAAGGCATCCAAAGGAAAACAGGATTCCCAAGTTAAAAACAAACAAGAAACCCCAGCATCATTCAAAGGGTCAAGCAAAAAGATGAACCATCATTAGATTATAGCAGGAGTTGGGACCACTGGGAAAAAAAAAAAAAAAGATGCAGGAGGATTGCTAAAAAACTTTATCTCTGATACTTCAGGGACACTTCTCTTTTAGTCTGTTTCCTCTAACTCAGGATGCCCAATCTATGGCCATAACCTACTAATAACCATGTTTTTCCCCGTAAGAGCACAATGTAGTAAACGTACAGCTGTCAGCAAGATGCTGTTGCCAAAATACTCTCAGAGAGAGTTTGGAAGTGCAGGCATATACTGCACAACATATTTACAACCTGCATATACAAAGTAAATACAAACACTGGATGTACTGTTAATTAATTTTCTCATGCACGTGTTGTAGATCTAGTCATATAGCAGGAAATAAGTCCTGTTATGCCTGGCTTGGAAAAGGCAGACATACCCGAGTTGATGGCTCTGCTGAGTAATACTTTTAAACAGATGCAGTTTAAACTACTACTGTGCTCTCCCCTTTCATCTCAATCATTTGTCACAATTCCCTCTTCCAGAGGTCATCACAATGATAATGAAATCTTGTGGAAGGGAACCCATGCCTGCATGTCAAAAGTCTCTGGCACAAATTTAGCTCAAACTCATCTTCAGTGGCAACTGATACCCAGACACTAGACTTCGTGCAGCAGCAGAAGAGGTGCAGAAACAGTTTTAGGTCAACTGTGCCATGGGGCACTAATATCTAATGTTAGTACACCAACACCTTCATTTTCCCCAGAAAACAAAGTGACTTTATGCAGTTTGACTCTCTCACCCCCAGAGCACATCAGAGGACTTCAAACAAGGAACGTGTGTTGAAGTCAAGCTATAATCTTGCTTCAGTTTATATTTTTCTTACAACCTTTTATTTCCAAGTTTTACAGCTTAAATTCAAAACCTGAGGATCTGAAAGTTTGCAATGTAAATCTTTACTATACCATAAATATTCTGTTATTGATGAACAAGGTGATCCAGATAAACCAGACTTATATTGTTTTCACCAAAATAGTATAGAAAGGAACATACAGTTTTGCAACCTAAAAACCTCACAGAATAAACTCATTGTATACTTGCATGATACATTGGCCTCAACAGTAATGCTGAATTACACAGTATTCCCCCAGAAAGCTTACTCATTTCTGCATAAGCGTACAATTTGTCTCTGAATGATCATTATAATTGTAGGGCCACATAAACAAGATCACTGAAATGATCCAGGTTAAATAGGCACACATTTAAAAGTAAAATATGCTGTTACTCAATACATGTAATTCAGGACATGCAGAATAACAAGAGAAATAGTAGTATTTCCTCATGCTCTAAGGCCTTATAAACTGACCATTTTTCAAAGTTTTACAATGATAGATTACCATAGCTTAGTTATTTGTTCTTTTCCCCAACATGTCCCTCTAAAGCATCCAGTCTTACAGAAGTAGCCAGTGGGTTTGGGTGGTTTTCTTTTTTGTTACAAAATCTTACCTAAAATTAGAGACATACAGTTTCAATCTTGAAAGCTTACCAAGAGGTGCTTTGAGAAACCTGCGCTCAATTCCTTGTTCTATCTGAAGCAGTGCAGATGCCAAGTAGTGGACCACATTATTAACTGGCTGAGGAGTACTTGTACTTGTTGATGCAGCACTTGGAGCTTCAGTTTTTAACCCAACGAGTCTAGAATAGAAATGTAGTATATTTTTTTTAGGGTTTTTTTAACATACTTAGAATTTAACACTATAGATATTTGTTTAGGTCTGTATCCACAGTAGATTTTAATTTTTGTTTACATGCATGGACTATAGACTTGAACAGATCCTACACAGGTGTGATTAAGTTAACCCAGTTCTCAAGTTTGCTTAATTAATCTAGTTAATCTAGATAAATCATCTTTAGGAAACAAAGTTAATAATTGTATTTGAAATGCAGAGAAGATTTCCAGAAGACTGGATGCAACATCCATTGGCTAGTTCATGAGAGATTTTCGTGAAGACTATAGCCCAAATAATACTTCAGTGAAAATATTTCCAGCAGCAAGGTGAAGCCTTTTAGAGTAGTTCCACCTACAGAAGTTCAACTACATGTATCCCCACAATTAATAAGATTTTTGAAAATAAAATAAGTAAAACCAGAAAGTAATTTTAGGATGTTAAGGCAAGAATCGTTAACTTATACGTTCTCATCCTTGGAGGATTCTTCTAAAATAAAAACTCTTCAAATAAGGAGGTAGGTTTCCAATAAAACAGCCTGGTTTTGACCAAAGACAAAGTAAGCATTTTAAAGTGTAATTTTCCTGAACCACAAACATTAAGTATAGTGTAGGAGAGCAACTCACACTAATGAAAATAAAATTCAATTTCTACAGGGGGTTTATTAAAAAAAAAAAAAAAAAAGGCAGCTAATTAGACTGTCTGGATTCTGCTTTATTCTGGTGAATGAGCAATGCTTTTGGTTGTCCCTGTTCTTTTTTTCCACACTTAAAAGCTGTTCATTATATTTTGCAGTCACACACATTTTGAGAGCCTGAAAGCAAACAGAAAAAAAAAGCTGCAGAGTTATTTACATTTCACTAGTCAGACTCCAAGGTCTTAATGAGATGTCACTCGCTCTGAGGTGGATAAAAAGCCCAGCAGCAAAAGCAATCTGTCACATGATTTCAGAATCCCATAGTCTCTCTTTTAATATGCAAGACTTTATTCGAGTAGATTTTATTCAGAAACTTTGACAGAGTCAGTATCAAATGGACAAAAATGAAGCAACAAGCTTCTGCAGCTGAATCAAGTTGGCAATGGAGCAAGTGCCCAAGGTAACTGGACACAGATAAATTTTAGCTTCTTAATTAAAACAGTGGAATATTTCTATGTTGTGGCTTTCATGAGGCAAATGTCTGCAAATTGTGTCATTAAAATAATGAAGGCTGACCCTATCCATTCTGCAGTTGGATCTGCAGAGAACTCGGATCCAAAAGGCAGCGTTGTATGAAAATACTAATTTATCAAACTGAAATAAAAAGGGGAAAACCTTAAAGAAATTTCAATTCCTGTATCCAACAGAGCATTCAAGATTTCATTCGAGAGTACAGCTTTCATAAAAGTCAAATTCCAGAAGAACCTCACAGAATACACAAGCAAGTAGTATGACAGTACAATGATCACTACCAGTGAATCTTTTTCCTGCAGTATTTCTACATTCACATCCTATGAAGGCATACAATTAAAAGTATTAAGTAAATTAAGGTTGAACTTTATTTCTGAAAAGTAGGTAATTTCTAAGAATTAAATATTTAGAAATCTTCACAGTTTCCATAGTCTGACTTATAACACACACTGATACGGAGTCCCACATCTGTCTCAAAGAAACCCCAAAACAACAGAACCAAGAGAACACTTCTGTTGTAGCAACACTACGTGATTTGAGGTTTCCACTCTTTTACTATGTTGCAGCTTGCCCTCCAGAAGGATAGTTGTTCATGAAGTTGTAAGATACCTCTGTTTTGCTGCAGTGCTAAAGGTTAATGCAGACTATGGCCCGTTGCACTGATGGTTCTTACTGTGACACATGGAAAGGTGCAGTGGTCAGTTCAACCAGCAATTCGTTACCATTACCATTTTCCTTTTAAAATGCTCCCACTCCTTCCACAAAGTGGGTTGCTACTTTTTTCCCCCCCTCCTTCTGGAAAGCAAAACAGAACTTGCCAGATTAAATTTTCTCTGCGTTTTAAACCTTTTCATAATGAATTCACATATCCCTTGTTTGATAATTAACATCCACTTTGAGCAGTATAGTATCTGAATAGAAGTAAAAATTGGTGTGTTCCTCTTACGTGGTAATACAACAGTGTCATGTGAAAATATATGAAATTATTTTCATATATAACATAATATAAACCAATGCAAAAATCCCACATTACAACTCAAATCTTAAAAAAATACTATTCCAAAGAATTTGAGGGTAAAAACAATTCGAAGGTTGAAAAAAAAAAAAAAAAAAAACAAAACAACAAACCAGAGCACTGCTACAGAACTCATAGGGAAGAGCCATTATTTAAACCACAGCTCTTACCTGTCTTTCACAATAAATTTATCTTGATCATCAGTTTCCACTTCTTCAGATTCTTCATTCACAGTTTTAATTATACCATTTTCTTTGTTTTCATCATTCAGAAACTCATACCGCCCATGTTCTAAGGCTGCTCTCCAAGCCTGTCTGTCTGTAACCTGAAGCAAACATACAAATTTGAAGTTTCTAAAGATTCAAAGGGTTCAAACTTTTAGTGCCAATTACTGTCTACACAATTTAATTACGTTTTCAGTAAAACCTGTAACATGCAAGAGTTCTCATTTAAATTACAGACTCGACGGCACCACCGTGTTCCTAGGTATTCTACAGTTCACAAATACCTTAATAGCCCCCAATGTTCCTTGGTAGATCCTGTCTTCAATGTCCAAAAGAAAGTCTCTAAGTCTCAGTTCAAGCTGCTTCTCTGCAGATACATAAGATCCATCATGGGCATTCTGCATCCTTCCCCGTCCTGAAGGAGGTCTGATGTCACTTTGAGGTTTGTCTGCAAGAATACCAAGTAACTTCATGTTACTGGACTTTGTTCCTTAAAGTGGCCACTGGTGGAGGGAACACTAGTAGTACAGGGCAGAACAAACTAAACACACAGGTTCAAAACTCCCTTCTTGCATGTAGTGACAGTTGCCAACACCAACATCTCCACGCCAACTAAGGCATCAGATCCAACCAAGCAGAGTATAATTTTAAGGGAAGACCTACAGATTAGCATCTACTCATCCCAACACACAAGATGAGAAATCCTGGTCAATTTGAAAATAACTACTTTGTTTTAAAATACTTTCTAAAGGAGTAGATAATCAACAATAACTCTGTTGCAAATGCAAGGAATAAAGTCCATTTTACTTGATAACCCTTACTTTACAGGAGAACTCCTCAGTTTTCTTTCCTGCATGGATCTTTATCACAACAACATTTGAAACAGGCATATGCAACTGACAACTGCAAAAACTATCAGGATAATATGTAACACCTTTTAAAAACCTAACTTTAAAACAAAACAGAAAGGTAACATGACACAGGCACAGGCTAGACTGACTGTCCCCTCTAATTAGAGGTTTTGAGGGAAGAAAAGGAACAAGACAGCAAGATAATTTATTAAAAAGAAGGGAAGAGTTGATGATGGGCTGTTAAGCAAAAACCTCTTCGTAAGATAACTCAAAATTGATGCAAAATATCAAAAGCCATCGAAACGATGCCCAGATCTTAAATGAGTGCTTGCAAATCTCCATAGGTAGCAAACATTTCTGTTCACAGGATTTACCTTAAATCATAGGAATGCAGTAATGAAGAGGTATGTGCAAGAACTAGGAGGTATTTAATAAAAAGTTACCATAAAGCTGTTATTAAGGAAGTACAGGATAAATTTCTAAGATGCTCTCAAATGTGGAAACAATTCCCTGTAAGTGAAAGTAAGTATGCAAACATTCTCAAAATGCATACTAGCATACTCTGATGTCTGGACATGGGAGACATCCTTTTTGGATTAAAAGAAAGGTTTTTTCTTAAGCAGAACTGAAACAGCAGCAATAAGCTTGCAAATAATTGATGAGGAAAAGTCAGTGGACACTGGAATAGAATCAAGTGATAGCACATATCAACTTTATTTCCATTCTCTCCTGAGTGGGAACTGAAAAAGGGAGAAGGGCAGCCTACAGTCTAAGAGGATCACAGAGTGGTTCTCACTTGTCCTGCAAGTTATCTGAGAGAAGGCAACAAGGTAGCAGTTAGAGCCCACAGCAGTAAAGCTCCCTCCAAAGTACAGCTACACAGGGCCACTTATCACTGCTTCTCACACCGAGGAAGGGGCACTGGTATTGAACCACTGCATTTGAATTTTTTTTTATTTCTGTTTACGTTCAAAGCTACTTTAAAAAAAATTAAAAAAATTAAAAAATCAGTGTTATTCTACAATTAGAAAGAGATGAAACATCTATGGCTGTGAAAATCAAGTTGCTTCAGGGCAGATAGCAACATAACAACATACAGATAAAGGTGCTGCAACTAGGAAAAGAAGGAACCATGCACATACATAAATGTATCGGAAAATGGTAAGAGATTTTCTCACCAAACCCCACAAACATAGCCATAAACCTCCAAATAAAGCTTAATTACTATGCAGAAACTCTGTCCCATGGTCATTTCCACTGAAAGAAATGGTAGATCAGGTAAGAATTTACGTATGTGGTGCATTCATGGCATGCCCTGGCATATACACACTCCGGTAAAACAGAACTCAGCGCTGGTGCAAGTAATGCTCCCTTGCCCCAGTACAGCTAACACAAAATCCTCACAGTAATTTTGCATTAATTCAAAACAAAATGCAATTTCTTAAACATTACACTAAAGGGTTTCATTTTGGGAACATCCTCTAGGCATCAAAACACCACAAACAAGCCAGCTGCATGTTCGTCTGTGAAGAATTGTATCAGTGATTGGAGCTAATGATTTGCCAATGAATGGCAAAATACTTGGTGAGGAGAAGAGGGGAAGAATCCCCTCAATCCTAGGTCTAGGATGGTTTTAAGTACATTCCTACATTTCGAAGCCCATAAAACCAATACTGCTCTGCAGACATCTCATCCTCCTGTACAGCACTGATGTTAAGCCACATAACCAACACAGCTACACTATTTTTTTCCTCCCAAAGGAATTAACATGACCCTGCAATATGCATTCCCTTGTTCACAACAGGCCAATAAAGGCCTTCAAAAGATTTTCATGCATTATAATGTTATGAAAGAGCATGTCCTACTCAGAAATCAAGGTAACAGTAAGTGCCTCCCTTTGCAGTGTTTGTCTCCAGTGTCGTATCTTGTGTCTGCTTTCATCAGACTGGAAATGAGGACATCGGATGATCAATACTATTATCTACCTTTACCAGATATTAATCTTTATTCCCCAGTTAATCTTTTCCAAAAGCTCAAATTACTTCCTAGAGATGTTTGTTTAAAAGCCAATCCCGTTTTACTAAGCAGTGAGAACACAGAAAAATTATTGCTTTTTTTAGCATAGGCCACCTGAAAAATACCAAAGATCCATCAGGAAAAAAAAAAAAAACAACCAAGCAAACAAACAAAACCCCCCCCCCCAACCTGTTTTTCATAGAGTGAAACAATTCTTAAGAATAATTCTTATTTCTTAGCACTTGCAATTAAATAAGAATTAGAGGTTTCTAAAAATATTCTATAGAAGTTACAGCTGCAGAAACAAGACCAAGAATTTTTCATTTCATTTACCTGGAATATGGAATTTTTCCACAGGAAAACTGCTTAGCTGTTCATATATTCTACTTTTCTCTTGTAAAAGAGTTTCTTTTAAGGCACTCTCCCTATGTCCTCGGGAATTGAGAGCCTCTAGGAGTTGGTCCAGTTGTTCCCGAGAATTGTAAAAGCACCAACGGTTTGGTTTATATACTGGCCTTGGCACCTCTACGACAACACTGGTGTGTGAATCTTGGTCAATATTGGAGGTAGATTCAGAAGATTTCAAAGACTCTCCAGTTTTACTGAATACCTGAGGTTCATTTGTGCAAGACTGTACACTATTCTGAAAGGAAGAGGTTCGAGGCAACAACATGTCTTCTGTCAGACCAGAATAGTCCTCTTCTATAAACAATCCAGGAACAGAGGGGAAAATCCAGTAGCGTCGGTACAGACGATCACGACCCAATGGGGTTATATTTGTGCAGGCTGTTGCATTCTGTATCTTTTCTAACAGTTCCTTCTCTTTCTTTTGTTGCTCCTGTTTTAAAGCTTCTTCATCTTCAGCAGTAAGAGGTTCACTCTTTTCACAAGCAGTCTCTTCTTGTCTTGTAAATTCTTTATATCCATTTTGCCCTCTCCTTCCTAAAAGTTAAAGGAAGAAAGTATGACAGCAATGCACTTATAAATTCTTTCCTTAACCAAACACTCAAGTAAAGGATGGGTTTTTGATCTGTGCCTTTCTGATTATCAAAACTCACAGCCTAAGACCATCAGATCAGTCAAAAAGCAATACTAGTTTTATTAAAGAAAAATTCAAGTGATTAATCCCCTTCCCTTGATGAAGGCGTAGCCATCTTTAGCATACTTTCAATTTGCAGAACCTAGACCAAGCCTCATTTACTGACATTGTCATTTTTAGCACTATAAAAAAGCCTAAAATTTTAAGAAAAGTATGTTATAGAAGTACCCTATCATGATATAGTGAAATTCTAGCAATTCCATTATTGAATGCAAACTGTTCTGGATTTAATTTATCATATTCAAAACGCTAAACTTAAACGCCAGAAAGACCTCAAGCAAGTCCAGAAACCCTATATAAGAAGTTTTATCACAAACTCAGTTACGTTACCCCTCCTTTTTTTTCTTTTCTTCAATTTATATATACTACTGTTATGTCCCCTCAACTTATGCCAGCTGAATATACTCCAGTTCACATTTTAATTTACCAAAGAATAAGGTCATGACAGTCATCTGGAAAAATACATCTTGTAACTGACACATGCAAACAGTGAACGATGCCGTTCGCAATTTCTATGAATTTCCAGCGTGACCTTCAGTTTCCCCAATTGTAGGAATGAAATAACAGTTATTTACCCTCCAGTCACAAGTCTCAAACACGGGCACTCAAGAATGTTGAAATTCTGTTTAAGATGAGTGCACTATAACTTTGCCAGGCAACAGCCTGGGTTTTAGACAATGAGGAGTCCAGAGATCAAGTATGGAAGAAAATGGAGTGTGAAAGAACATACAGCTGAATGCTGTAACTACATCAGGCCACCTCAATGCACTTAACAGGCCATTATGATCTTGTTTGGGTGGTTTTTATTGGTTTTGCTTGTGGGTTTGTTGGTTTGGGTTTTTTTTTCCTTTTTCTTTAAAAAGTTTACAAGAAAGATTGATGCTTTAGAAAAATTTACTATAAAACCCAAGAACTTCCCACGTGCATGCATGTGTGTGTGCATACATGTACACAAATGAACAAATCCATTATTGCATTACCCCTTCTTCGTTTTTTGTTTGGTCCCAGCTCTTCTTCATCCTCTGTCACGGTGTCCACGTCTTGCTCTTTACGTTCGACTTCTTTGCTCTCTGTACTGGTATCAAGATCTTCCCTTTCCTCCTCCCTGACGCACAAAACAAAAAAAATCACCAAAAGGTGACTAAGTGACCAACCTCTAGAAGCTGAACAGAATGGGAAAAAACTACACAATATGGCATTTTCAACACAAACTGCATTTTCGTCTCAGAAGTACTTAAGCTAGTAGAAGACCTATAATGCTTTTAGAAAAATAAATTTTAAGTCATATATTAAAACCCAAAAGAAACTCACTGAACTGTAAATGGAAAGTTCCATATTAAAGACAAAAGCCTGCTCTTTGATATTCACTCTTTCATTTGAAGAGCATTATTATAATCAGATCCTTTTTCGAGACATTTTAGAGTGTAGTTCTACTGACCTAAATTTTTTCCGTAACTAAAAAAATGCTTCCTCAGCAAAATGTATACAGTCCTATAAAATACTTATTACACATTTTTCCCCTCATGTAGCAAATATAATTAAAAACCTGAAGAACTACATGCAATCATTACAGGATAATATTTTTGCCCCCTCAACTGTAGTTTCAAAAACATAGCACAAATCTGCCTTTGGCCCATACTTAGCTTTTGCAAGCAAATTTATTTAACTAACACCCTTCCTCAAGCAGGTAAAGACACACTGTTGTATTTACACTTTGCTTTTTTTTTTACTTTTTCCTGGAATCAGATACAGCTGCATCTGTATGAATTGTACCACCTGAAGCCATACAGCTTTACTAACAGAATAAAAAAATCTTGGTTTTATGGAAGTCACCTGGGATAGCATGGCATTAAAAAAAAAAAAAAAACCACCACAAAAAACCCAAAAACAACGAACAAACCCCACTATTAAATTTGATTTATAAACTGTCATGTGAGATCAGTATTATGTAGCTCAGATCAGACCAGTTCCACAAACTAGAATGATCTATGATGCTAATATTCATAGACCTGAAATCAATGCAAGACAAAGTAATACAAAAAAACCCCCAGCATTTTGTAAGTTTCTCATGTCAGTAGTTCTTTATAGAATTATGAGTATAATGGAAGTTGATTTTAAAAATAAAAATCTCTTTCACAGAGCAATTCTAGAACACTAAGAAGAAAAAATCAACATTGATGGCTATATACTTAAAATATACCTTCGTATATGACTGAGAAAATGAAAACTAACTAGGTAAGGTCTGGCTACATCACTGAGAAGTGCTCTATCGTGTGTATCACAGTAACAGCATGCATCATACCCAACAGATACTTCTACTGCAGCATTTCTTTGCTCCTCTTCCTTCAGCTTTTCTTGTTTCTCTTTCATTTTTAACTCTTGTTCTTTTAGCCTTTCTTCTTTCCTCTTACGTATCCTAATAGTAAGAAGGACATAGAAAACCAGTTGCAATTAATCTAGTATCTGATCTGGCTGCATCCATTTTCTTTTATACTACAGCATCATCTAAAAAAATAACTGTAACATGGGAAAGCACAACGCTTAGCACAATGAGGTTTCACTCCTGCCCAGGGTCTCAGGAAACCACCATAGAACACAAACACTGCTACTGGTTGTCACATACCTTGTGTAGCTGAGGAATTAATCTAATTTGTTGCAACAAAATTTAGCTTTCCAAATCCTAGTTTTACCTTGCTGCTGCTGCCTCTCGTTCTTTGCGATGCTGTTCTGCTTTTAATTCTCTGAACTCTTGTTTTGCCTGTCGTAACACATCAACAGAGTCCTCAATGAAATCTCGAGTGGAGACGAGAGTCAGAAGTTTCCCACAGAGGGCATGAAGGATCTTCATCTTTTCTCCTAATAAAATTTAGACCACTTCATTATAAAACTGATAAATAAGCCTTACTCTTACACACTCCAGACTGATGATTGGTTCTCACTTGAGAAAAAATGAACAGTCAAACATTTGTAGTGTAAGTGTACCAGATGCACTCGCAAAGAAGCATTTCCTGAAAAATATGCTCTGCTCAGAGATGCAAGCCTTTATTTTTAATTTATTAACTTTTAGCACTGAAAGAAGACCTAAATTCAATATTACCTTCAAAATGGAGACAAAGTAATAGTAGGACGTATTTGTTAATCCATTTCCAAATAACATACAAAAGACCTAAACCAGAACAGCAATGAAGAGCAGAGGCTGAATGAAACACTCAGATGCTTCTCCCAGAGAGATCCCCTTCCGCAAGTGAAACTAATGTTTTTTTTAAAATGGGATTTTAAAAAGCTACTCAGAAGTAATGAGACTGCCTAGCTCTGCAATCTCTCATCTGCTTGTGGGGGCCAGAGCATACCGGGTGGCTGTTGGTCTAGGTGACCTCCAGAGGTCCTCTCCAATCTAAATTATTCTACGACACAGTAAATTTTGACCATTATTGATCTGAAGCAGTTACAAAACCAATCACTTGATGAGCAATCTAATAACCTCTAACATTAATTGTCTTGTATTACCTGGCAACAAATCATACACTGAGGTACTTGAAAGTTTCTTCAAGAGACCAGGATTACTTAGTCTCAGCTCCATGCAAGCATCATCAGTAGCATCAAACCCTCCTCGTTTCTGGTAACGGTACTTTGCATTGGCTGATGTTACATCAGCACCTGATGCTAGAATGTGGAGTCTGAGAATCTCAGAAAGAGTGCAGCTATCAAGATCCAAGTTTTTCAGATTGCAGCCTACAGTTGAGAAGAATGAACAGTTACTTTATACAGGCATTTAAATATATATGCATATTTAAAAATGTGCTTTAAAATACAGAGCAAATTAATAACAGCAACAAAATAAGAAGTGAAACCCACACATACCCTGATGTAACTGGGGCCATGCAGCTGCCAAAGTTGCAACTGCAGACAGTGCAGATTTTGTGGGGTCTGTATCTTCATCCAAAGCCTCTGTTAAATCTTTAAGGAAATAAACACTTTATTCTAGTGCAAATTAAGACTTGTACTGTGGAGGGGAGGAAAGCAAGCTGGTTTTTTGTAAGTTGCAGACAAAGCAGGAAGAGGGCCAAATATTTACAAAAGCATCAATGTATTCAAAACTCAATTCAACATCCAAATTAAAATTTACATGTCTTTAAATGCAACTAAAAATCCAACTAAAAGCTAAGGACATGCACCACATGCTATATACTGTTCTCCCTATAAGCTGTTAAAGCAACCACAATGCACCAAACATGCAAAATGTCAACATAAAAGGCAGCAAAACCAAATCTGTAAACGCGCTTGAAAGCAAAACCAAACAACAATGCAAGAACACCCGTATTTCGTTCCCTCAAATTAGCTGTTATTTCCTATCATCATTTTGGTTTTAGGAAAGTCCATCCAAACCAATCACACATTTCAATACTGGTTATCACCATTCACTGTATACTTTTAATCTGTAACTCAGACATAGCCTTACTGTCTTACATAAATACAATTAATAAGGCATTACAAAGAAACCATATTTCACCAAAACAAGCATCTGCACTTCATAAGGAGCGTCACACATTAGCAAACGGACCAGGAAAGCAGGGCAGTGAAAGGGAGAAACAGCAAAACTCCTGTTCCTTAGACGAAAGTTTCCTTAGCACTTACAGGTATTTCTCCAGAGGGTTGGCAGATTTTCTCCAGTGTTGTATGTGGTTTCATCAATTTCACTTTATTCAAATCCAAACCATTAAGCAGTTATATAGCCAACAAGTCGGTGAAGAGCGACAAACCCAAACTGAGACTACATAAAAAGCAAATCCACCACAGTCTCGTATGATGATTGATGTTTGACAACTGTCACCCAGACACTGCAGAAGTAACCTGCGCACCTCCCCTCTGATATCCGTATAACACGGTTTGAGAAAGTACTGCACGCACCAAAACCTGTTCACCCCTGGTGTTTGCTGTTGCAGAAGCAACTGTCTGTACAAAATTTCTGAGTGCTACTAGTTTGGTTTGCCAGCATTACAAAGCCAAGAACATGTAATTCTTTTACAGGAAAGAAGATGTCCAAAAGTGACAAGAAGTTAAAGCTGCAAGGCAAGTAAGAGATAAAGGGCCCCTCCCACAGCTCTGCAAACCCAGAAGCAAACCAGCAGATTTTTTTGCAACTGCCAGACCCATACCATCAAATTAAAACATGAAAGTTACATTTTTCCTGATCAGTTCTATGAATAGTAAAGAATATCATCAACTATGCTCTGACTACCCGATAATGGGATCCTTGCTTATGTTGCCCAAGCAATACTCTCAGTAGTTAAAAGATACCATTTAATTGCTAAATGCAACAGTAATTAACATTCAGTCTAAATTTGTTAACACCGTACCAAATCCGTAACTTTATTCAATTAACAAGTGCAGACTCCACTGCTGAAGATAGTGCCCGTGTTTTATACAAAGGCATTTTATAGATTGGACATAAATCTTAAGAATGCGAATATTCACAGCCTTCAAGGTAGGAATTAAAGGAACCTCCCTGTACCTCACACATCTGTCTTACGGGAGCACCACAGGATTCATCTGACCTCAAACAGGGAGTGCTCTGATGTCCCTATCTACTGCTAATGAGACAAAGATTAGCAGAAGGGTCAAAGCTTCTCCTTTAACTAGTCAGCAAACCTGCAGTCCATAAACACAGGACCACATAAATTTGGAACACAGTCTGTACTTTCTTCTCATCAGTGATTAGCGTACAGTAAATGCCTCTGAAAAAGTGGGCAACTTCAGCCATGAGTAAAGTCCAAAGGCAGAGGGACTCCAAGATCTTGACTGGAAAAACACAGAGACATGGTAGCATCTAGGAGTTATGGGTGCACACTTTCGAGTCTTGAAGGGCAATGAATATTGAATTCTTGATGGCAGTCATGCTGGGGAGTTTTAAGTTTTAATCCAGTTAGGTCCAGAATTATTTTTTTTTAGCTACAGATAGAGACCTTTGAGAAGACTTAGGAAAATGCCTTGTTTCCTGACCCTCAGGAGAAACATCTCACAGTGCTGAAGGAAGAGCAGGAAGGTGAAGACAAGTTTTCCTCACCTCTAAAACATAAGTAGTGCTGTTAAAAGCTTATTATGCTTTGCTGGATACAATCGTAGCAACAATAAGCTTGTTTTTTCTCTATGCCCCCCAGAACCCACCCTCCATGCCCAGTTTGAAGCTTTAATTTCAGATAAAAGAGAAAAAACAAGTCCATTTACATAGAATACCCATGCACAGTAAGACAAGGTTAAACAAGGGAATGCCATAAATCATGCAGTTTGAAGTTAATTCCAGTGGAATTTCAGTTTTTCAACAGTAAAATTAAGGATCTGACCTTTGGTCTCAGCATCAGCTATTTGATCTTTGGCCACTTCCTCTTCCTCTTCGGCCATTGCCTGAAAGATGGCAGTCAGGAAGAAAAACAGCAATTCACATAGTGGGCCTTCAGTGTCATTTCCTACAAGAGCTTCCTCTAAAACTTCTGTGAATAAAGTTTAAGAAGCGTCACTTTTGCCGCAAAGTTGGAAAACGATTATGTACTGAAGAACGAAAACATTTTTTTCCTTCAGGTATGATAAGTTACTTTTCCATAATTTACTGCAAATATTCCTAAGGTGATGGTGTCAGAAACATGGTGTCCTGCAAAACATCATTTTCTTAATATATAACTGCAAGGGTAAAGCACAAGTAGCCATTTTAATAAGTAGATTAACAGCTTCTACACTGAAATTTTGATTTTTATAAACACTGCAAAAGTTGACCGTGAAGAGCAAACTAGATTGATATGCACATGTAAGCAGTGACACATTAAAGCTGCAGAGAAGATTTAGTAGCACAGGTACTTGGGTGCACCTAAGATGTTTGGCTGTTTGGTAGAAGGAACACCACAAAATCAGGACACCTTGCCACATAAACGACAACTTGCCTAAAGTCACTCCTTCAGGAAATTCATCTTGAAGATCAAAAAGTTCCCCAAAAGCATATAAAAACTCCAAAACCATCAGAGCATCACCAAAGATCTCAGGAGGAAGCCTTGTCTTCACTGGCACTGGAACAGGAAGTTCCTGCAACCCAAATGGGACAACTTAATACTGTATTCGGTTTCTGCAGAGTACACAACTGATTAAAACAAAACAGTCTATGATTCTAAGGAGTGTATCTGTTGGATTTCTTTACCTTTTACTTAAAGTAGTTCTGCAAGACACAAACAATTATCATGGTAACATCTGTGGCAGTACTAACTTTAAAAGCTGGCATGCATGCAACTTGGATATCTCAACATTTTGAGATAAAAATTTATTCATGTTCATACAGTTGAACAATTTTGTATATTCGTTTAAAGGAGCTCAAACCCATTACACGTTAAGAACACTGGCTGTCAAGATTTTTCCTTTAAACCTGTATTATTTCACAAGAGTTTTGTATTTAAGTTTGCTGGAACTGCCCAGACAAGCAAAAATAAACATATTCTTAAAAAGTTACTCCCTATTGCTTGCAAAGACAAGCAAACAAAAACCCAACATGTTCCCATAAAACCACACCCATCTAATACTAGCATATGCAAGATCATGTCTAATGACTGACTGTTTTGGTGTTTGGGTTTCTGCATTGGTAAGGCAGTTATAATAGCTAAAGACATTTTAAAGGGAGCTGGTGTAACCATGTAACAAGACCACTTAACACAGACACCACCTCCAAATCAGAGACAGCAGTGTGCAACACCAAGTTTGATTTTCAAATAAATATCTCAATGTAACTCTCCAAGATTTGTCTTCACTTATTAGTGGACAGAGTCAAACAATTTCCAGAAAGATGTCTCCTTGCCACAATCGTGGAAGTTCACAAACATCAAGGAGAATAATGCCAAACACTGCAAGGCATTTCATACATTTCTGGAGAAGGGAATTTTCTGAAAAGCAGTCCTCACCCAAACTCATCTTTATTTATAGTCTTGCTAACTTTCACTGTAGTGGTACTACTTTCCCACCCCTCCCTTTTTCTTATCCAATTGAAACACAGCAGCACTGTTTTGCTCAACTTTGTCTTGTTTTGGCAATGCTCTTCCCTTTCTTGTTTCTTCTCCCTTTCTAAACATAGCCAAGAGTTTTCACTCTCACCTTCAAGGAACTATACAGATCTCCTTGCAAATACATTCACTTCTCATACTGTTCCCAACCAGCGCTACCCCTTCAATTCATTTAACACTCTTCTCTATTCCCACTTGTCCTCCTTACACTTCTCATGTTTCCCTGTGTATTCCAAATAAACCTCCATCCTTGTACTTCTAGCCTACCTTTGCTATCCCCTGCCAAAATTAATCATAATAAAGTGTACATATATACCACTAGACAATCTTCTATTATGTACAACCACACAAGAATATTCCTGTTTAGAACAAAGTTCTTTGAGAGGTAAATTCTTGTTAGTTTCTACAGGTTTCCAGGATCATCCAGAAAGATGCTCATTAAGCAAGGATACTCCTACAGTTTAGATCAAAAGAATGCCACAGAGAATCTTTCTACTTTTTGCAGCCAAAAACTTCATTTCATTACTCCAATCTTTTAAGTAACACAGCTCTATTCGAGGTGAGCACATCTTGTATATTTAACAGAAAAGCCAGGCATGCTCAGAACCCCCCACTAAGGTCAGCGCTTTAAAAATACACCTGTTCCACGTTAAGACTGAGAACAGCCTGTCAATTTTTTCTGGAGGGTGAAAACACAGATGATATTAGCATCACCATGGGGAAATATTACATGACTGCAGGTGATTCACAAACTCCTGCATTCAGATCAGTTCTAGATCCACCTCTGCATTCAGGAATCTAGCTTGGGGACTCTTGTAAAGTACAAGCTTGACCTATTCCCAATTCAATCATACCTTAAGATCATCGCACTCCATATCCTCTCTGGGCTTACTCCATTGTTTCAAGTATTCCACATATTTTCTTTTTTCTTCACGCAGCTTCTCTCTT